ACGAACGCTCGTCCATCAGCGAACGAACGCTCGTCGACCACCGAACGAACGATCGTCCAGTGTGGAACGAACGGTCGTCCAGCAGTAAGAGGTCGACGAGCGTTCGTTTTCTGGTGGACGAGCGTTCGTTCTCTGGTGGACGAGCGTTCGTTCGCTGGTGGACGAGCGTTCGTTCGCTGGTGGACGAGCGTTCGTTCGTCATCTCAACATCCACTCATGAATTTTTTTAACGCCGTCCAGCCAACTTAACGGAAAGGACTCAATTGATATGAATTTTCAAAATTAAGGACCATTTTGATACACTTTAAAAAACGAGGACCCAATTGAGACATTCGTACATAAATAGAGATGTACTAAAGGATTAAACCTAAAATGAATAATCTTATAAAATAACTTCATGCTCCCGATCATATGTAACATCTTATATATTGATGTGACACTAAAGCCTTCTATTGAATCTTTCTTCCATATCCACTTAGCCTATGTTTCTATATGACTAATTCATCTATATTTCTAGAATGATAGATCTCCTTCTAACTCATACAAGAAATCTCTCTCCTCTACCCTTACATCCCCATAAATAATTAGATTTTATACTTCTAATCTTTCTACCAACCAACTTTCATGAATCTACCTAGTTTCACCCTTTATTATTCTCTATTGTGTTCTCATGTCAAACCACTTTAAGTTTCTCGTACCTCCATACAAGTGACATACGTATTCACCATATTGAAGATAGTACCCACAACCTGCTTTCACTCCTCTCACCCACCGTTCTTGAAAGTTTAAAATTTGACACCATCTCATGACCATTTGTTGAAAAAGAAGCATCTCCACTTTCCAAAAGAAAAACATTGAAAATAGCAATATCATTAACACTTAAAACTCCCATAAGCATTCAATTTATATATATATATATATATATATTCTTCCAACTCATTCACCATACTTTTTTTTCCCTTGCAGACCTTTCCCCGAAAAAAAGTGTCCTAACAATTTTATAATATTATATACTACCTCCTATGACATCTTAAAAAATAACAAGACAATAGTGGGTAAAACAAACTCAGTTTTTTAGGAGACTTCTACTGAAAAAATAGTAAAAAAAGTGAACTTAATTTTTTTATAAATTAGAATTATTAGCATATGAATAAACTAATTTTGTAAAAAAATTTCATATAACTTATCAAATTTGTTTTAATATATAACCTACTTTTAAATTACGGAAAATTTACCCGAATATGCTCTAAAATAGAAAATTTTATCAACATTCATCACCCAAAAACAATAATAAGGGGCAGGAAAGATTTTCATATTTTACTGTCGGTAGAAATAACAATAATAATAATAATAATAATAATAATAATAATATATCTACAATATTATAAAAGGAGACTTTTTTATGCACATTTACTTTTTATTTTTACCTTTAAATAACTGTTTTTTTAAATTAAAACAATTACTTTATGAATTTTACTTTTTAAGTGACATTTTTTAAAATTAACACTTTTTTATTTGATCTTTTTTAAATTTAACCATCTTTTTAAATTAAAATAATTATTTTTAATAAAATTTTAAAAACAATTATATTTACTTTTATAATTATTTAAATTATTATTTTACTAGTAATAATAATATAAAGTTAATAACATTATTTTCAGTAAATCAAGACGAGTGTTACAAAACTAGAGAAAAAAAATCAAAACGTCGACAGCAGGATTCGAACCTGCGCAGGCATAGCCCAACAGATTTCGAGTCTGTCTCCTTAACCACTCGGACATATCGACGCTTGCTGTTGATCACCTACAAGACATATATTTTATAAATATTAACATGACCATAAAACTTGTCATCTAAACTGGTTGGTGGCTTGGTGGGGTAAATAAAAGGACTTGAATTGGTCCCAGAAGAAGCACATGCCCAGAAAAAAAAGAAGGGGTACATGGTAAATTTAGTCAATTACATGACAGTTGACAGAGAAAAAAAGAAAAAGGGAGAGATGTGGGGGCACCTAGGCCACTAAAATATTGGACCCTCATGGTGGTGTTGGTGCACAGATATAAAACTCTTTCAGCAGTGAAGATGGAACAAACATGAGAAGAAGGGTCAAAGCCAGATATAAAGCTTAAGTTCTAAGTCTTATTTTTCTTAATTTTCCCTCTGACTTGCTGTAGAGAAAGAAACCATAATTAGTCATAAAATATGCTGTTATTTAAGAGGCTAGTAGTAATATTATTTTTGCAGGAATGTCAGAAGGTTCGGTGCTCTATTATGGTATAATAATAGGCTATCTATATCTAAATTCACACACCAAAATATAATTATTTTCTCTTTCTCTCTCTCTTGCTTCTTGCTTGCGTTGTGGTGTGTGCTCTCTCTGACTCATAACCCGTCCGCACATATTATATTTCACCCTTCTGTCTTTATATGCCTTGTTGCTTCTCATTCACTTCGAGCTTTGTCTTTGTTGTGTCCTGTGGAAAACCACATTACTTCTGCGCCAATTGACTAGTACCACCCAGTCTTGTGACCACTTTTGCTTTGTCTTCTTCTTAGTCTCAGAATATGATCTTGTTAGTCCTTCTTCCTCTTCCCTTCCCAGTTTGGCTTTCTCATGAATCTCCCTTTCTTGGATTATCTTTCATGTAAGATAAGCCCCAGAAAGCCAATTCAGAAGACCCTTAATCTGTGTTGTTGTGCTTTAGTTTTTTTTTTCTTCTGTCTTTATTTATTTGTTTTAAGTTATGGAAGCTTGCTGCTGCAACCTTGAAGTGGATGTAAATGGAGAAGAGACCTTCATGGTGGACAAGGTAACCCTTTCTCTATCTTCTTTATTGCTTGGCTCAATACTCCTGTTTTTGAAAATCTTGTTACCTGTTTTGTTTCAAAACTTTATTCACAAATTTCACAGAATAAAAGAGAGGACTTTGTTGGACAATGGTTCACTTTTTTTCGTTTTTATTCTTCTTCTATGTTTTTACCTTTATTGTAAATTCTCAATCCTTTGTTGTTTCCTTTTCCTTTAGGTTTGTTTATAGGATCTAGCATCTAATATCTATGCTGAAACGTAGTAGTCACATGGTTAGTTTTTTCATGACATTTGATCGATGGTTGATTGTTTCAGTTAAATGAGTTCATGCTAAATGCTGCTATACTCATGAATATAGAGTAATTATGGTTCAATGATTTTATACTTTGCAATTTTTAATTTTTGTTTCTCTCTTCTGCTTTCTAGCTAGTAGTAGTGGCTCACCCTGAGTTACTTTGTGATTCGTGTATGTAGCTTTCCGCCCATCATTAATTTGCACCTACATAGCAGTGAGGTGGGGCAACTTCTGTGTGTCCATCTCAGCAATAATTTCCATCTCCATTTTTACTGACCACAAGCATGAATCACCTTTTCATCTTTTCTTTTTGTTTTTATTTTTATATGTTGCATGTCACACATTAAATGCTGCTGCTATGGTCTTCTGAGCCTTAAATGTTCTCACCTTCGTTTTGTTTGTTTTATTCACATTTTTTTCTGAGAGGGACCGAGGGTTGCTTTCATGCCATTTATTTACTTTCTATATCCTTCCATGCCAGATGATTTGTGAATAGAGGTTTTCCTGCTCACACTTACTTATAATTTATTGTCCATAACGACTCCAATCCATTCCTTTGGTATCAGAGCTTTAATTGGAGTGGAACTTTCCCTTCATTCTCTTCCTTTCCCTTTTTTCATTTGTCCTTTTTCAGTCTATGTGCTCCAGTGATTCCCTGTTTTTGGCGAGTTATTTTGGTATCTGATTAAATCTACTACTGTCTGTGATTGCTTTTTCCACAAAAGTAAAATAAAATAATTTCCCTTTAACAGTTTTGCTGCAATTTCTTCTTTATCTAGTTGTTTCATGGTGTATTATCTGTTCTCTTGTTTATTAATCATCTAACTTGGTGCTTTTGCAGACTGTTATTACACAGTATTCAAACAAGTTTGCTAGATTATTTGGAAAGTCTGGTGGTGCCACAGGAAAGCTTAAAGTAATATTTCACGATTTTCCAGGAGGTGCAGAAGGTTTTGAGCTTATGTTAAAATTCTGTTACAACAATGGAACAGCTGATATAAGTCCTTCAAATTTGTTCCTTGCGCGTTGTGCTGCTGAGTACATGGAAATGAAGGAACCTGTGGCTGATGTATCTAACTTATTGGAGCTAACTGAAAAGTCACTCCACGAGATCAACTATTGGACTTGGTCAGATGTTTTGATTGCTTTGAAGCAGTGCCAGAATTTACTAGTTCTAGATTGTTCGGAGATGGTAGAAAAATGCTTGGACACTATTGTGGGGAGGCTGGTTTTGGCTAGTGAAGCAAGTCCTTGTCCATCAACTAGTTCCACAGATAGTTCTTGGATTCGGTTTTCATGTGACTCTAAGAGCACTGAGAGTGTAAAAACAAGTTTCACTCGTTTGACATGGTGGTTTGAAGATCTCCTTTTTTTCAGTCCCTTGTTAGTTGCAATGTTGGTTAAGTCAATGCTTGCGCGAAAGATGGACCATGTTTTGATCAGCAAGTTTCTTCTCTACTATCAGAAAGCTAAATTCTCCACTTCTACTACAGAAGAGAAGAGCAAGATAATAGAAATGGTCATAGATATGCATTATGATATGGATCTAAGTTGTGTTCCTTGCAAGACTTTGTTTGGGATTCTGAGGGTAACTTTAGGTTTAAATATAAGCAAATGTAGCAGGAACAGGTTGGAGACTATGATTGGTTCCCAATTGGATCAAGTAACCTTGGACAATTTGCTTGTTCCATCTCCTTATGGAATAAGCTACTTGTATGATGTGAACCTTGTTTTGAGATTTTTGAAGGCATTCTTGCGAAGAGGAAATGGTCCAGTTACTCCCATTCGGATGAAGAAAGTTGCGAGCTTAATAGATTTGTATACAGCAGAAATAGCCCCTGATCCTTGTTTGAAAATTTCCAAGTTCTTGGCTCTTGCCACAGCACTTCCAGATTCTGCAAGAGATTCTTATGATGAGATCTACCAAGCAATGGACATGTATCTTGAGGTATAATAATTAACAATTCTTTCCAGTTTAATTATAACGTTGGAACTATCTGACTTCAGTCATATGGTTAATTTTTATGCATTGTACAAATTGTCAACTCATAAGAAATCATCTTTATTACGACTTTCAAGTAGTTACTCACCTTTATTGTTATAGGTNATGCTCCCGATCATATGTAACATCTTATATATTGATGTGACACTAAAGCCTTCTATTGAATCTTTCTTCCATATCCACTTAGCCTATGTTTCTATATGACTAATTCATCTATATTTCTAGAATGATAGATCTCCTTCTAACTCATACAAGAAATCTCTCTCCTCTACCCTTACATCCCCATAAATAATTAGATTTTATACTTCTAATCTTTCTACCAACCAACTTTCATGAATCTACCTAGTTTCACCCTTTATTATTCTCTATTGTGTTCTCATGTCAAACCACTTTAAGTTTCTCGTACCTCCATACAAGTGACATACGTATTCACCATATTGAAGATAGTACCCACAACCTGCTTTCACTCCTCTCACCCACCGTTCTTGAAAGTTTAAAATTTGACACCATCTCATGACCATTTGTTGAAAAAGAAGCATCTCCACTTTCCAAAAGAAAAACATTGAAAATAGCAATATCATTAACACTTAAAACTCCCATAAGCATTCAATTTATATATATATATATATATATATATTCTTCCAACTCATTCACCATACTTTTTTTTCCCTTGCAGACCTTTCCCCGAAAAAAAGTGTCCTAACAATTTTATAATATTATATACTACCTCCTATGACATCTTAAAAAATAACAAGACAATAGTGGGTAAAACAAACTCAGTTTTTTAGGAGACTTCTACTGAAAAAATAGTAAAAAAAGTGAACTTAATTTTTTTATAAATTAGAATTATTAGCATATGAATAAACTAATTTTGTAAAAAAATTTCATATAACTTATCAAATTTGTTTTAATATATAACCTACTTTTAAATTACGGAAAATTTACCCGAATATGCTCTAAAATAGAAAATTTTATCAACATTCATCACCCAAAAACAATAATAAGGGGCAGGAAAGATTTTCATATTTTACTGTCGGTAGAAATAACAATAATAATAATAATAATAATAATAATAATAATATATCTACAATATTATAAAAGGAGACTTTTTTATGCACATTTACTTTTTATTTTTACCTTTAAATAACTGTTTTTTTAAATTAAAACAATTACTTTATGAATTTTACTTTTTAAGTGACATTTTTTAAAATTAACACTTTTTTATTTGATCTTTTTTAAATTTAACCATCTTTTTAAATTAAAATAATTATTTTTAATAAAATTTTAAAAACAATTATATTTACTTTTATAATTATTTAAATTATTATTTTACTAGTAATAATAATATAAAGTTAATAACATTATTTTCAGTAAATCAAGACGAGTGTTACAAAACTAGAGAAAAAAAATCAAAACGTCGACAGCAGGATTCGAACCTGCGCAGGCATAGCCCAACAGATTTCGAGTCTGTCTCCTTAACCACTCGGACATATCGACGCTTGCTGTTGATCACCTACAAGACATATATTTTATAAATATTAACATGACCATAAAACTTGTCATCTAAACTGGTTGGTGGCTTGGTGGGGTAAATAAAAGGACTTGAATTGGTCCCAGAAGAAGCACATGCCCAGAAAAAAAAGAAGGGGTACATGGTAAATTTAGTCAATTACATGACAGTTGACAGAGAAAAAAAGAAAAAGGGAGAGATGTGGGGGCACCTAGGCCACTAAAATATTGGACCCTCATGGTGGTGTTGGTGCACAGATATAAAACTCTTTCAGCAGTGAAGATGGAACAAACATGAGAAGAAGGGTCAAAGCCAGATATAAAGCTTAAGTTCTAAGTCTTATTTTTCTTAATTTTCCCTCTGACTTGCTGTAGAGAAAGAAACCATAATTAGTCATAAAATATGCTGTTATTTAAGAGGCTAGTAGTAATATTATTTTTGCAGGAATGTCAGAAGGTTCGGTGCTCTATTATGGTATAATAATAGGCTATCTATATCTAAATTCACACACCAAAATATAATTATTTTCTCTTTCTCTCTCTCTTGCTTCTTGCTTGCGTTGTGGTGTGTGCTCTCTCTGACTCATAACCCGTCCGCACATATTATATTTCACCCTTCTGTCTTTATATGCCTTGTTGCTTCTCATTCACTTCGAGCTTTGTCTTTGTTGTGTCCTGTGGAAAACCACATTACTTCTGCGCCAATTGACTAGTACCACCCAGTCTTGTGACCACTTTTGCTTTGTCTTCTTCTTAGTCTCAGAATATGATCTTGTTAGTCCTTCTTCCTCTTCCCTTCCCAGTTTGGCTTTCTCATGAATCTCCCTTTCTTGGATTATCTTTCATGTAAGATAAGCCCCAGAAAGCCAATTCAGAAGACCCTTAATCTGTGTTGTTGTGCTTTAGTTTTTTTTTTCTTCTGTCTTTATTTATTTGTTTTAAGTTATGGAAGCTTGCTGCTGCAACCTTGAAGTGGATGTAAATGGAGAAGAGACCTTCATGGTGGACAAGGTAACCCTTTCTCTATCTTCTTTATTGCTTGGCTCAATACTCCTGTTTTTGAAAATCTTGTTACCTGTTTTGTTTCAAAACTTTATTCACAAATTTCACAGAATAAAAGAGAGGACTTTGTTGGACAATGGTTCACTTTTTTTCGTTTTTATTCTTCTTCTATGTTTTTACCTTTATTGTAAATTCTCAATCCTTTGTTGTTTCCTTTTCCTTTAGGTTTGTTTATAGGATCTAGCATCTAATATCTATGCTGAAACGTAGTAGTCACATGGTTAGTTTTTTCATGACATTTGATCGATGGTTGATTGTTTCAGTTAAATGAGTTCATGCTAAATGCTGCTATACTCATGAATATAGAGTAATTATGGTTCAATGATTTTATACTTTGCAATTTTTAATTTTTGTTTCTCTCTTCTGCTTTCTAGCTAGTAGTAGTGGCTCACCCTGAGTTACTTTGTGATTCGTGTATGTAGCTTTCCGCCCATCATTAATTTGCACCTACATAGCAGTGAGGTGGGGCAACTTCTGTGTGTCCATCACAGCAATAATTTCCATCTCCATTTTTACTGACCACAAGCATGAATCACCTTTTCATCTTTTCTTTTTGTTTTTATTTTTATATGTTGCATGTCACACATTAAATGCTGCTGCTATGGTCTTCTGAGCCTTAAATGTTCTCACCTTCGTTTTGTTTGTTTTATTCACATTTTTTTCTGAGAGGGACCGAGGGTTGCTTTCATGCCATTTATTTACTTTCTATATCCTTCCATGCCAGATGATTTGTGAATAGAGGTTTTCCTGCTCACACTTACTTATAATTTATTGTCCATAACGACTCCAATCCATTCCTTTGGTATCAGAGCTTTAATTGGAGTGGAACTTTCCCTTCATTCTCTTCCTTTCCCTTTTTTCATTTGTCCTTTTTCAGTCTATGTGCTCCAGTGATTCCCTGTTTTTGGCGAGTTATTTTGGTATCTGATTAAATCTACTACTGTCTGTGATTGCTTTTTCCACAAAAGTAAAATAAAATAATTTCCCTTTAACAGTTTTGCTGCAATTTCTTCTTTATCTAGTTGTTTCATGGTGTATTATCTGTTCTCTTGTTTATTAATCATCTAACTTGGTGCTTTTGCAGACTGTTATTACACAGTATTCAAACAAGTTTGCTAGATTATTTGGAAAGTCTGGTGGTGCCACAGGAAAGCTTAAAGTAATATTTCACGATTTTCCAGGAGGTGCAGAAGGTTTTGAGCTTATGTTAAAATTCTGTTACAACAATGGAACAGCTGATATAAGTCCTTCAAATTTGTTCCTTGCGCGTTGTGCTGCTGAGTACATGGAAATGAAGGAACCTGTGGCCGATGTATCTAACTTATTGGAGCTAACTGAAAAGTCACTCCACGAGATCAACTATTGGACTTGGTCAGATGTTTTGATTGCTTTGAAGCAGTGCCAGAATTTACTAGTTCTAGATTGTTCGGAGATGGTAGAAAAATGCTTGGACACTATTGTGGGGAGGCTGGTTTTGGCTAGTGAAGCAAGTCCTTGTCCATCAACTAGTTCCACAGATAGTTCTTGGATTCGGTTTTCATGTGACTCTAAGAGCACTGAGAGTGTAAAAACAAGTTTCACTCGTTTGACATGGTGGTTTGAAGATCTCCTTTTTTTCAGTCCCTTGTTAGTTGCAATGTTGGTTAAGTCAATGCTTGCGCGAAAGATGGACCATGTTTTGATCAGCAAGTTTCTTCTCTACTATCAGAAAGCTAAATTCTCCACTTCTACTACAGAAGAGAAGAGCAAGATAATAGAAATGGTCATAGATATGCATTATGATATGGATCTAAGTTGTGTTCCTTGCAAGACTTTGTTTGGGATTCTGAGGGTAACTTTAGGTTTAAATATAAGCAAATGTAGCAGGAACAGGTTGGAGACTATGATTGGTTCCCAATTGGATCAAGTAACCTTGGACAATTTGCTTGTTCCATCTCCTTATGGAATAAGCTACTTGTATGATGTGAACCTTGTTTTGAGATTTTTGAAGGCATTCTTGCGAAGAGGAAATGGTCCAGTCACTCCCATTCGGATGAAGAAAGTTGCGAGCTTAATAGATTTGTATACAGCAGAAATAGCCCCTGATCCTTGTTTGAAAATTTCCAAGTTCTTGGCTCTTGCCACAGCACTTCCAGATTCTGCAAGAGATTCTTATGATGAGATCTACCAAGCAATGGACATGTATCTTGAGGTATAATAATTAACAATTCTTTCCAGTTTAATTATAACGTTGGAACTATCTGACTTCAGTCATATGGTTAATTTTTATGCATTGTACAAATTGTCAACTCATAAGAAATCATCTTTATTACGACTTTCAAGTAGTTACTCACCTTTATTGTTATAGGTACATGCTCAATTGTCACAGGAAGAACGAGTGAAGATATGCTGTGTTTTAAACTATGAGAAGCTTTCACCTCAAGCTTGCCTACACTTATCTCAGAACAAAAAATTTCCTTCAAAATCTGCAGTTCAGGCTCTTATCTCTCAACAATCTAAGCTAAAAAATTTACTCCATGTTACTCCCAGTACAAGTTCATACAACGATTCACCTTGCAGCTCCAACGGGGCTGCTCAAAAGGTAAAGAAAGATAAAACCAGTGAACAGGTTGTGTTGTATGCTGGCAATTTTGATCTTGCTACAGATAATGAGAAACTCAAAGCACATTTACAAGGAATGCAGTGGAGGGTCATGGAATTAGAGAAATTCTGTAGGAAAATGCAAGTCCAAATGGCAAAGATCACAAAATCAAAAGCATCAGGCAATAGTTATGCAAAATCTTTGCCAAAGCTATGCTCATGAGTCATGGCACAATTTTTTGCTGTTGGATTTTTGTTTATTTTCCCCTGTAATCTTCACATCTGTATAGTACAGGAATGAGTTGTGTCTGTAGTTTTTGATCTTTTCCGCGTAATTAAGAACAGTGATATATTGATTGTACAGTCATGAAATAATGGAAGAGACTTCAAAGAATTTCAGATTAGAGTGTGGACAATAACCTTGTGTAAGAAACACATCATGTTCTTCCTAGATTACTTTAAAAAGAGTCTTATCGTAATAATACTATCAAAAAGTGATGATTCATTAGACCATTACTTTCACTAACCGTGTACTAACCACATTTTTCATAATGCAAATTTCAAGAACCCCCCTTCAAATTATGAACATTGGTCTTTGAATTTATCACTGTTCATTCATCTCTGATTCGTTGTAACTAGTAAATCAAAGTTGACCCTTCAACTGCAAATAGAAGCATGGCCAGAACGATGGTTTCACATCAAGTTTCAACCAATAAAATCATGGTTTGTTGGCTTGCCCCTACATGAAGACAATGCAGTAGTTGACACGCATAAAATACAAAGTAGTTACTGTTACCACTACCTGAATATGCAAGCGTGTCAGATGAATTCAAGAAAAATGTAATAAGCTGATTGCTGAACCGTTGTAATATACTTGAATACACTCTGAATTGAACAGTACTATGTTAGGATAAAGAATTTCTTGGTGTTGACTCAAATTCCAAACCAATCACGAGGAAGATTAGTTGTAAGATGTTCAATATGCAGGAGGTCCCATCTGCTTTGCAAATTGGTAATAATGCAATTGATTGTGAGTTAGAAGAGGTGGAACTGGTCCCTCTAGTTTATGCAGCTCCATCTTCACGCTTGTCTGTATTAGGCATAACAAAAATGTCCCACATCGACTAGCCAAAATACATTATCATCGTCATAAACTAAAGGTACTAATTACTAAACCTTCCATTTTGTAAATAAAGGTTGAGCTACTATACAACACAATGAATTGAAAGTAGATATTATAAAAATTAACAACGTTTTCATATATTTTTAGATCAAAACCATTATTCGAACAAGAATTAGAGATGATATGAGTGAGATAATAATATATATCTTTCACATGTTACAAATTAAGTTGAACTTTAAATATTAGTATGAAAACATAATGAAGTTTGTTACTACGTGATTCAAGAATCCATTCGGACGACATAATGAGAAGATACGATAGGAGTTAAACTCGGTATCTTTTGAAACGATTTAGAACTAGTGACCCACATAACAACAATTATATTTTTCTTCAAGATTTTCATTATGTTTAGTTTTAATACTTTTAGTTTTTGATAGCTTAAGTTTGATTATACTTTTAATCTTGAAACTGTTATTGGAAACATTTAGTATAAAAAATTGTGTTAAAAAAAATGCTACAATTAACGTATGTTAGTATACTACTAAACAAATGTCAATTGACATCGGTCTATATTTCAATTGACGTCTATCTATACCATATCTGACATCAATTGTTATCGATTTTCAGTGCAAAGATAACATTTTACAATGTCCTATTCACAAAAATTTGTGCTTAGCGGAGTAGATCCTATCGCTTAACGTCCTTGGATGTTAGTTTGGTTTTTTTGTCATCGTGAATTGACATTGGTTGACCCAGGCCTAAACCATGGGTTCTGATACCATTTGTATGGAGGTTCAACACACACATAGAGATCTCCACACTGACAAATCCCTCACGAATTTACTTTTGGTACCACTCCAAAATGCCTCTTACCAATAGAGGTATCTTATGTGTATATAAACTCATGTCTATCTTTTGTTTTATCTAATGTGAGACTTTGTTTGTACTCAACATCATGTGTGTGTCTGCGTATTTAACGGAAGAGACTTGATTGAAACAAATTTTACCTACGTTTGACGAAATTGACACTTTTAAACCAAGTTTGGACTAAATTAAAACTTTTTTAAAAGGGTGGATGAACTTGACACGCTGCACCCAAACCAGAGAAAAAAAGCAATTAAACCTAAATAAAAATAAACTTTAACTAATTCTACCTACTCAAGAAACCCATTTCCTCACTACACTCTTTGTTTAATTCAGATTTTATTTTTAATGACACTCTCTTATTTTCCTAACACCAATCACTTGACCATTAAAATGAATAAAAGAAAGCATTCTCATGTTTCTGTAAATTGAAGGATTTTCCATCAAGTGGATGCAATTCAATTTCCCATAAAATTGAGAAAATTAAATTTACTTAATTAACATTTTAATAGACATGAATTTACTATTTTTACTTGTATATATCTTCTCTGATATTATCATAGGATAAATTTGGCATACTTAAGCGTCTTTCAAAAGATTTTTATTGAATATATCTCAACAAAAATTAAGACTTGAACTCATAAAAATAATAGGTTTATACTTATAGTTTAAAGATGACTACATTGTGCATCTACCCTTGACGAGGTTGAATAAATGTTAAAAAATAGAGAAAGCTTATATAAGAAAACTTAAAGTGGTTAGAGGAATTTACGTTTTTTTAATTTTGTATCAATGCATATAAAAGGTGTTTACTGTTCTTTATTAACTAATTTTTTTTCTTTTTTTTTAATAATTGATTTGTCTGTAGCTATCATCTTATTAACTAATTTATCATATAAGTGAAGTGTAATTATATCTAGTATTTAAAATAATACAAAGTAATTAATCCAACCAAATTCAAACGAAGCTATCAGCACATTGCTGTCCATATAGTAATCCAAACCATATATGCACTAGGCATTATTAGTTGTATTTGGCTATTGTATCATATATGCTGTTTGGTCCATGGAGAAAATTGTTCTCAACAAATAAATATATAAATGTTCTTTTGTCTACCTATCGAATATTTTCGTACCCTAGGCATGTTCTCAAAACAGCACGTGTTGTGGGACTAACTAAAGAAGCTACGGAACCCTATTTAATATACTGGACCTCAACCATACACTCTCAATTTTTTCTATTAGTCATACACTTTATTTTTATTTTCCCTTAAGAATTTGTTTTTTCAAACTACAAGTAAAATATAAATATGCGGGAGTTAGAATACTATGGAGATTTCAAATTATCTTGAAATAATAAAAATTTACACTATACAATTTATTGCAAATTATACAAGCAAGTTTTATAATGTTAAAATGGATTTAAAATTCCCTTCTTTAAGATGTATTAAAGTCATTCAAATCATAGTTTTGCAAGAATGTTTTATAGGTTGGCAAACGATTATAACTATAATCTTACATTAATATTAAACCACTTATAAATATATAATTTCATATTAAAAATCGGATCATCCATAAATATTTAAGATCTATCTTATCATATGTTGTCAAACCACTTATAAAATTTTAGTCTTGATTCAATATCAAATTACTCGTAAAGATTTAGTTTCAGATTCAAAATCGAATATCTATAAATATTTAATCTCGTTTTCAGTGACACAAGATTTAATTTATACAAACAGGATAATTAAAATGACGTTATTATTTCTCTTTTCTACAATTTGGCAAGAAAAACTAAACTCTATGGGACTCGTGTGAGACTTATGGAGAGTCAACCACATAAACAACGCTTAGTTCTTGAATTTGAAACTCCATTTTTGCATCATTATCATATAACGTAGCAGAAACTTTTTGGGTCAACAAATCAAAATACTAAACTGCACAGACCTAGAAAGAGGTAGAAAGAGTAGCGTCTAAGGGAAATGCAACGAGAGATAAAAACTTTATATATTCAGTAATGCATTGGTTGCCACAAATCCGCGAGTTTCAAATACCCCTATATATGATATAATATATATATATATATATATATATATATATATATATATATATATATATAGATCTATATATATATATATATATATTATATATATATATATATTTCACGACACATGCAAACACGGAATTCTCAACGAAGACCAAAGAAACTAAATAAATTACACAAGGAACTTGGTAAGTACATTAAACTACCAACTTGGTTTGGTTTGGTTTTCTTAAACAGTGCATGTCTTGCTCGTTACGGCACATGAAAGATGACTTTTAGGACGTTGACACAGTGACAGTGAAAAATGCAGAGGGAAACATACCCAAATTTTACGTTAGCTATAGCAACCTTCTTCGTCAGAGCATGTAAGGACAAGGGGACAGAGTGACCACATAACGACACAGTTTAGCATCTTCCTCAGTGCCACTTCCAAGTAGAAAACACTGACTAGGACATCTTTTTATTACAAAATTGGTGACAAAGATGTCTTAACAGTTGCAATTAAGGATTTTATTCCATTCATTTATTTTTGTTAAGTTCTCAAGTCCTACTGCTTTTTATGAGGAGAAAGAAAAAGGATAGATGAGTGTTTGGCATTAGCTGATGATATTTGGAGGAACTTGCTACTGGATAAGCTTGTTGAAAACCTGAATGCTTGAATTTTAGCTGTGTTTAGTAGTTTAATTATGCTTTTTTTATTATTAAATAATGAAGTTTTGTTACACGGAAACTTGTGTCAACTGTATTATTATAAGTTAAGAATAACTTATTCTATAAATTTTATCATGAAATGTAAAGAACTAAAATAAAGAGATTATGAAGAGTTTTGAAAATAACTGCTTTTATAAAATTTTAAGCTAAACTATAGTTGATAATTTCTTTTTGTGATTTTTTCAACAATTTTAATCTTTCAATTAAAAACAATTTTGAGTTAGTTCTCATTTTTTATATAATTTATTCTTCAGCTTTTTTAATTTAATTTATTGAAATTATTTATAAGTTAAGTATAAGTTTCAAATGAAAAAGAAATGTATTTTTGGACACATATTATATGAAGTTACAAATTTTTGAAGATTAAAACCACCAATTATAGGAATTAAAGAAGATCAAAATTACAATTTAGCCTCAATTTATCATACAAGTTAAAGAAATGAATTGAAAATAGCTTAATATCATAAAACATTCTGTCAATGCATGTAACAAGCTAAAAAAATAACATATTTACAAATTAATTTCATCAGGAAAAAAAAGTAATAAAAATAGTAAAAGAATTGTTTTGTTAAGTTGATGTAAAATCAACAATTTTAGTAATAAATACACCCTTTATAGGTTCATCATGAAGCACTCGAACCCAATATGTTGGAGATGA